TGTGTGTGTGTGTGTCTCTGTGTGTGAGTGTCTCTGTGTGTGTGTGTGTGTGTGGTGTGTGTGTGTGTCTCTGTGTGTGTGTGTGGTGTGTGTGTGTGTCTCTGTGTGTGTGTGTCTCTGTGTCTGTGTAGTGTTCGTGAAGGAGAACAGCTGGAAGAGGTACATTCCTCCCATCCCGCTGCACAAGGACTTCGGCTTCGGCTGGGCTCTCATCAGTGATGTGCTGGTGTCTCTGCCGCTCAGTGTCTTCATGCAGGTCGTGCAGGTCAACTACCAGGTACAGACACACACCTTTACCTTAACACTCAGTAATATTAATGATTTCACTGCACTGACGCTGTCAGATGAGAACAAAACGTTTTGTCTTCTGCAGAGCTTCTTTACATTACATTACATTTATTCATTTAGCAGATGCTTTTATCCAAAGTGACTTACAAATGAGGACAAATGGAAGCAATCAAAATCAACAAAAGAGCAATGATATACAAGTGCTATAACAAGTCTCAGTTAGCTTAACGCAGTACACGTAGCAAGTTTTTTTTTTGTTTGTGTTTATTTTTATTTATATAATTAATAAAAAGAAAACAAGTTAGATAGAATAGAGAAACCTAGTGTTAGAGGCCTTTTTTTAAACAAAACAAGCAGTTAGAAAATGAATAGAGTGCAATTGTTTTGTTTTTTTCTAAATAAAAAGAGAAAATAAATAGACAAAATAGAATTAGAATAGAGTGCTAGAGTTAGAGGGTCAAATAAAGATGGAAGAGATGTGTTTTTAGCCGATTCTTGAAGATGGCTGAGGGCTCGGATTGATCTGGATTTTCTTTACAGCTGAAAATGAGTTTGTTTCATAACTGATGATATTGACAACATTGACACTGTTATTATTTTCCTGTTTATTACTGCTTTGAAACAGTCAGTGCTGTAGATGTTCCTGTGTTACTGCAGATGAAAGAGTAGATCGTGGCACTAACAGTGTTGCAGTAAATAAATGGAAATCTAAACAAAATCACTAAATAAAAACTACAACTAAAACGAACAAAATCAATGAAACCAATAAAAATTAAACTGAAATTTGTAGCAAATTTGAAAACGGTATTAGCATAAAAACACTTAAAATGCAAAGCTATAATAACATTGCTGAATTAGTGATGATGATAATAATGTATAAATCTGTTGTCAATTGAACAGAAGCTTGCTGTGGTTTTCTGTAAAAATACAAGCTGGTTTGATAGTTTTAACATTTGAAAGCAAAGAAATTAAGACTAAAATTATTATTGGTACTTGGCTCTTATGTAAAATAAAATAATTGTTTTTAACTGCTTGTTTTGTTATTGATTTGCTTAATTTCTATAATTGAAAAACAAAATAAAAGTAGTATTCTGAATAATCATGTGGTGCGTTAATGTTGTGTTTAGGTTGAGGGTTTGGAGCAGTATCTGAAAGATCCAGTGAAGCAGCATTATCTGATCCGATTCCTGCCTGCTGAGATTAAACGACAGCTGCTGCACAAGAGGTTCACACACACACTCACACTCACACTCACACACACACACACACTCACCAGGTCAACTACCAGGTACAGACACACACCTTTACCTTAACACTCATTAATATTAATGATTTCACTGCACTGACGCTATCAGATGAGAACAAAACGTTTTGTCTTCTGCAGAGCTTCTTTACATTACATTACATTTAGTCATGTAGCAGACGCTTTTATCCAAAAGTGACTTACAAATGAGGACAATAAAGCAATCAAAATCAACAAAAGAGCAATGATATACAAGTGCTATAACAAGTCTCAGTTAGCTTAACGCAGTACACGCAGCAAGGTTTTTTTTTGTTTGTGTTTGTTTTTATTTATATAATTAATAAAAACAAAACAAGTTATATGGAATAGAAAAAGAATAGAGAAACCTAGTGTTAGAGGCCTTTTTTTAACAAAACAAGCAGTTAGAAAATTAATAGTGCAATTGTTTTGTTTTGTTTTTTAATAAAAAGAGAAAATAAATAGATAAAATAGAATTAGAATAGAGAGTGCTAGAGTTAGAGGGTCAAATAAAGATGGAAGAGATGTGTTTTTAGCTGATTCTTGAAGATGGCTCAGGGCTCGGATTAATCTGGATTTTCTTTACAGCTGAAAATGAGTTTATTTCATAACTGAAGATTTTGACAACATTGACATTATTATTTTCCTGTTTATTACTGCTTTGAAACAGTCGGTGCTGTAGATATTCCTGTGTTACTGCAGATGAAAGAGTAGATCATGGCACTAACAGTGTTGCGGTAAATAAATGGAAATCTAAACAAAATCACTAAATAAAAACTACAACTAAAACGAACAAAATCAATGAAACCAATAAAAATGAAACTGAAATTTGTAGCAAATTTGAAAACAGTATTAGCATAAAAACACTTAAAATGCAAAGCTATAATAACATTGCTGAATTAGTGATGATGATAATAATGTATAAATCTGTTGTCAATTGAACAGAAGCTTGCTGTGGTTTTCTGTAAAAATACAAGCTGGTTTGATAGTTTTAACATTTGAAAGCAAAGAAATTAAGACTAAAATTATTATTGGTACTTGGCTCTCACTCACTCACACACACTCTCTCTCTCACACACACACAGACACTCACACACTCTCTCACACACACACAGACACAGCATTGACACTGTATTGTCTCAGTGTTGTGATGATGCTGATGTGGGGATGATGGTCTCTCTCACAGGAAGTACATCTTCAGTTTCCACGAGAGTCTGCAGCGGTTGTGTTTCATGGGTCTGCTGCAGTTTGGCCCCACTGAGAAGTTCATGGATAAAGACCAGGTGAGCTCGTCTGGGTCACATGATCACCGCTCAGGTGACGCTCGTCGTGTGTTAAACTAACGACAGGATCGTGTGTGTGTGTCAGGTTTTTGTGTTCCTGAAGTCGAAGGCCAGGATCGTGGACACGACGGTGTGTGACCCGCACTATAACATGGCCATCGAGAGCCTGCGTCTGTTTGAGAGGAGACACTACGTGTTCAGCAGCGCGCAGGAGGTGGAGAACTACTGGTTCGACCTGCTATGTGTGTGTCTCAACACTCCTCTAGGTACAGACACACCGCCTGCATTAACAGTGCGCTTCCTTTGGTTCACTGAGCTGCTGTGAACCGCTGGTGATGACCTACACACAACACAATCTTGTTTATATATATATATATATACATACAGGGCCTAAAATTAACACTCGCCAAGCGCCAAATGCGAGTAGCGTTGGCGAGTCCATGTAACAGTGTCAGTCGCCAGTTGGCGGGTACAACTTTTACAAATTTTAACAATGCAATGAAGTGAAAACAACAGCCAGTTTTTAAAGAGATTCGCTGTTTCTGACATAAGCGAATAAAATAATCTTTTCCGAAGACCAGATCATCGTGACTAGCTGTTCTGTCATAAGCGACAAGAGCACGGTGCAGTCAGTGAAGTATAGTTTGAAAGGCTGTGCGTTCGGCTGTATGCATACGCTGAGCCGCTTCACACAGCTCACCAGTAGCGCTTCAACGCACGAAAACACACAATTATGTCAAATTGTGCGGTTTTGGCGAGTTACCTTGTAAACGTAGTCTTAAACGAGTTATAAAGTCTTAAATGACCATAACGAGTTGGGAGAAAATCAGATATGTGTCAGATATGCATCAGGTTTTAAAGAGACAGCGCTGATTTTAAAGTGAAACCTGCTGAAGTCTGTCATTGATGTAAATCAAAGAACAAAAGAAAAAGAGAAATC